TGTATTCCTCCATACATGACAAATGCATCTTGAATTGTCCATCTCTACAACATCAAATAATATAATTCCATCACGATTTTCACTAATACAGATACCTTCAATTTTGCATGTTATAATGGATTAAGCTTGTAGGATGTTTTTAAGATGGTCTTTTGGCTATTTGCATGAAGGATAAAGCAGGGAAGATATGGTACTTCAAAGATACAGAACAATGCTTTGCGAGTGATTAGAATTGGTGCTAGTACCACTGGAAAAGAAGAAAAGGGAGAATTGGATTATCCAAAAATAAAAGGTTTCAGAGTAGCAGCCATGTTAGTCTGTATTCGCAAAAAGCAGGGAAGATATGGTACTTCAAAGATACAGAACAATGCTTTGCGAGTGATTAGAATTGGTGCTAGTACCACTGGAAAAGAAGAAAAGGGAGAATTGGATTATCCAAAAATAAAAGGTTTCAGAGTAGCAGCCATGTTAGTCTGTATTCGCAAAAAGAAAAGGAGTACTAGTGGCACCTTAGAGACTAACCAATTTATTTGAGCATAAGCTTCCGTGAGCTGTACATTGTCATGGTCATGTACATTGGTCAAACTGGACAGTCTCTACGTAAAAGAATAAATGGACACAAATCAGATGTCAAGAATTATAACATTCATAAACCAGTCGGAGAACACTTCAATCTCTCTGGTCACGCAATCACAGACATGAAGGTCGCTATCTTAAAACAAAAAAACTTCAAATCCAGACTCCAGTGAGAAACTGCTGAATTGGAATTCATTTGCAAATTGGATACTATTAATTTAGGCTTAAATAGAGACTGGGAGTGGCTAAGTCATTATGCAAGGTAGCCTGTTTCCTCTTGTTTTTTCCTAACTCCCCCCCCCCCCCCAGATGTTCTGGTTTAACTTGGATTTAAACCTGGAGAGTGATCAGTTTAGATGAGCTATTACCAGCAGGAGAGTGAGTTTGTGTGTGTATGGGGGTGGGGGGGATGTGAGAAAACCTTGATCTATGCAGGAAATAGCCCGACTTGATTATGTAAAGAGTTGTCACTTTGGATGGGCTAGCACCAGCAGGAGAGTGAATTTGTGTGGGGGGGTGGAGGGTGAGAAAACCTGGATTTGTGCTGGAAATGGCCCACCTGTTGATCACTTTAGATAAGCTATTACCAGCAGGACAGTGGGGTGGGAGGAGGTATTGTTTCATGATTTCTGTGTGTATATAAAGTCTGCTGCAGTTTCCACGGTAAACATCTGATGAAGTGAGCTGTAGCTCACGAAAGCTCATGCTCAAATAAATTGGTTAGTCTCTAAGGTGCCACAAGTACTCCTTTTCTTTTTGCGAATACAGACTAACACGGCTGTTCCTCTGAAACCTCTCCTTACAATGTGAATGATAATCAAGTTGGGCCATTTCCAGCCCAATTCCAGGTTTTCTCACCCCCCCCCCCCCAACACACATACACAAACCCACTCTCCTGCTGGTAATAGCTTATCTAAAGTGACCACTCTCCTTACAATGTGTATGATAATCAAGGTGGGCCATTTCCAGCACAAATCCAGGGTTTAACAAGAACCTCTGAGGAGGGGGGAGGGGGTTAGGAAAAACCAAGGGGAAATAGGTTACCTTGCATAATGACTTAGCCACTCCCAGTCTCTATTCAAGCCTAAGTGAATTGTATCCAATTTGCAAATGAATTCCAATTCAACAGTTTCTCGCTGGAGTCTGGATTTGAAGTTTTTTTGTTGAAGAATTGCAACTTTCATGTCTGTAATCGCGTGACCAGAGAGATTGAAGTGTTTTCCGACTGGTTTATGAATGTTATCATTCTTGACATCTGATTTGTGTCCATTTATTCTTTTACGTAGAGACTGTCCAGTTTGACCAAAGTACACGGCAGAGGGGCATTGCTGGCACATGATGGCACATATCACATTGGTGGGTGTGCAGGTGAACGAGCCTCTGATAGTGTGGCTGATGTTATTAGGCCCTGTGATGGTGTCCCCTGAATAGATATGTGGGCACAGTTGGCAACGGGCTTTGTTGCAAGGATAGGTTCCTGGGTTAGTGGTTCTGTTGTGTGGTATGTGGTTGCTGGTGAGTATTTGCTTCAGGTTGGGGGGCTGTCTGTAGCCAAGGACTGGCCTGTTTCCCAGTAGGTAATGATCTAGTGATCTCTCTCCTGCCATCCATCTCCACCGTCTGACAAGCAGAGGCTAGGGACACCATTCCTTGCCCATCCTGACTAATAGCCATTAATGGATGAATTTATCCAGTTCTCTTTTAAACCCTGTTATAGTCCTAGCTTTCACAACCTCCTCAGGCAAGGAGTTCCACAGGTTGACTGTGCGTTGAGTGAAGAAGAACTTCCTTTTATTTGTTTTAAACCTGCTGCCCATTAATTTCATTTGGTGGCCCCTCGTTCTTATATCATGGGAACAAGTAAATAACTTTTCCTTATTCACGTTCTACACACCACTCATGATTTTATATACCTCTATCTCCTCCCGCCTTAGTCTCCTCTTTTCCAAGCTGAAAAGTCCCAGCCTCTTTAATCTCTCCTCATATGGGACCCATTCCAAACTCCTAATCCTTTTAGTTGCCCTTTTCTGAACGTTTTCCAATGCTAGTATATCTTTTCTGAGATGAGGGAGACCACATCTGTATGGAGTATTCAAGATGTGGGTGTACCATGGATTTATCTAAGGGCAATAAGATATTCTCCATCTTATTCTCTGTCCCTTTTTAAATGATTCCTAACATCCCGTTTGCTTTTTTGACTGCTGCTGCACACTGCATGGACATCTTCAGAGAGCTATCCACAATGATGCCAAGATCTTTCTCCTGATTAGTTGTAGTTAAATTAACCCCCATCATATTGTATGTGTAGTTGGGGTTATTTTTCCAATGTGTATTACTTTACATTTATCCACATTAAATTTCATTTGCCATTTTGTTGCCCAATCACTTAATTTTGTGAGATCTTTTTGAAGTTCTTCACAGTCTGCTTTGGTCTTAACTATCTTGAGCAGTTTAGTATCATTTGCAAACTTTGACACCTCACTTTTTACCCCTTTCTCCAGATCATTTATGAATAAATTGAATAGGATTGGTCCTAGGACTGACCCTTGGGGAACACCACTAGTTACCCCTCTCCATTTTGAAAATTTACCATTTATTCCTACCCTTTGTTCCCTGTCTTTTAACCAGTTCTCAATCCATGAAAGGATCTTCCCTCTTCTCCCATGACAACTTAATTTACGTATGAACCTTTGGTGAGGGACCTTGTCAAAGGCTTTCTAGAAATCTAAGTACACTATGTCCACTGGATCCCCCTTGTCCACATGTTTGTTGACTCCCTCAAAGAACTCTAATAGATTAGTAAGACATGATCTCCCTTTACAGAAACCATGTTGACTTTTGTGCAACAATTTATGTTCTTCTATGTGTCTGACAATTTTATTCTTTACTATTGTTTCAACTAATTTGCTTGGTACTGATGTTAGACTTACCGGTCTGTAATTGCCAGGTTCACCTCTAGAGCCCTTTTTAAATATTGGCGTTACATTACATAACATAGCCATAACAACATGAGTCAAACTGTGTTTATTAATCCTGAGATTAATATTCTAACAGGAGATTAACTGCCTGGAAGTACTATTTATTCCAGATTTTTCTTTTGAAACCAGCACATAATGAATAGAATACTTCTGCTAAGGTTTTTTTAGTACAATTCCAAAGAATGACTGCTTGCAGAAGGGTCTGAAACAAAGAGCTGACTGTTGTTTATTATCTTTAATGATGCTGTCTTAAAGAGCTAGAACTATGGCAGTGTGGTCAGCGAAGTGACTAGCATCTTTTCCCTTAACATAGCTGCTCCTTGTAGGTCCGTTATGTTTGGTATTTTACTACCGTTACTGATGAAAAGGAAAGTTAGCATACAGCAGTGCCAAGGAAGATTGTGCTGGATTCTATCATGTCTAGCTTACTGTCAGAAAAACTGTCAACTAATTTCTGATGGCAAAATCTTTAAGTGTTACAAGGGATGATGTATGTGTCAGAAAACAGTCTGATGTTCAGATCACAGGGCGGGTTTGCCTGGCTGAAAGTTGGGAAAATCCTTTTTTGATTAGGGTATTTTGTGTAAATGTGGCATGGCTTTCATTGTGTGAAAATAAACATGGAACTCAACAATGCCCTTCTTACAGTCAGGTCTCTATCTGGAACTCCAGTTTTAAATCCAGACACTTGGTCCTTGTCTGTACTAGGATTTCCATGGCTGTTTCCGTACAAACCCCTAGTGCAGACACCGTCTGCGCACAACATGCATTAGAATAACTTACTCTGGTTTGAAATTGTGTCAACATTAAAGTTGTATACGGGTGTAGGTGCAGCCCAGGCTAAGATCTCCACGTAGATAAGGCTTATATTATGCATTTATTTATGGTAAGGTTTAGGTTATTTTAGACATTGATTACGTGGAAACAATATACAAAATATATTATTCAGGGGGGATGAAATTTACCCCTGGGCTGAGGGTCCACATTTAAATCCTGTTTTCTATTCCATTCATAATAGAATCGGAAATGTCACTGACTCCTCTTGAAAATCTCAAGCCTTGTTTTGTGTATTTTACATAAGTAGAGGACACTCCATCTGGTAGCTCTTCAATGAGGAGAGGCAACTCTTATATAAATTTCCATGACCTGATAGTAACAAATGAAGGTTTCACTTATCTGGGTGCCCTTTTTTTAAAAAAAATCAATATTCTACTGAAAGGAAAAAAGGAGATGGGAAAGCGGGGTGAAGGAGAGAAGAACAGTGAGCCCCTCTCAGAAGATATTGAAAAAACAGGGCATTGGACTGTCTGGGTTCTGGGACCAGCGTTGAGATTCGTTCAGGCAAATGCCAGTTTCACGCGGGAAAGGCGGTGCAGTTTGTGAAGTCCCAGCCCTGGGACTGCACTGGAGCACGGGACCACCCTATGGAGGATCAGGTAAGTGGCTCTTTGTTGTCTTGAGTGCATTGCCCGGTGTTTCACAGACTTTAACCGCGGGGCTGTGCAGCGGTAATACAAACTTTGCCAACTCCCAGACGATGGTTTGAAGATCACTGTTAACCGGCAACGAGGCAAAGAGTGAAGGCAGAAAACCAGACCAGCTAACCCCAGGGGAGACTGCAGGGCTCGCTCCTTCGCCGCCCCCTCCTCGCCAGGGTCTTGCCAAAGGAGCGAGCCGCCGGGCGGCCCCCCTCCCGGGAAGGCCGCAGACGCGGGCGACCCCAGCTGCTCTCGGGGGCTAGAAACTGCTGGGGGCTTAGGGGGGCGTTCAAGGGGAAGATTGCGCTGATTGGCTGATAGCCCAGATAAAGCCCCAGCCGGCGCCGCTTCCACTCCTCAGCTTGGCTGTAAACGTGCAGCCTTGAGCTGGTTTTTCTCCGCGCTCCCGGCCCGTTAAAGGGGAACGGGTCCAGGTTGCCCCCCAGCCTGGGCTACGTTCAAACCAATGACCAGGCGCTAGCTTGTCAATTTCACGCCTCCGGTCTTTCCCCTCGTTCCTTCTTTCCCAGCAAATAGCAACCCAGCCCCCGACTATTTTCCATTGTTCTCGGCCCTCTAAGGGGCATTTCTACCCGTGCCCCCGTGGCTGAGCGGCAAAGGCAGCCGCCCGAGCCTGCAGGAGCGCTGGCCATGCGGAGCCCTGCAGGTCAACAGCCCTAGTGCGCGCCCGCCCCGGCGCAGGCAGCTCCGCGCTCTGCCCAGCGGCCGGACTCTCCCCGGGGGGAGCGGCGCCCCGGAGGCCCCCGCCATGCGGTCGCTGAACATCACCCCGGAGCAGTTCGCCCGGCTGCTGCGGGAAAACAACGTGACGCGGGAGCAGTTCATCGCCCTCTACGGGCTGCAGCCGCTGGTCTACATCCCAGAGCTGCCCGGCCGCACCAAGCTGGCCTTCGTGCTGGTCTGCGGGCTCCTCTTCGCCCTGGCGCTCTTTGGCAACGGCCTGGTGCTCTACGTGGTGACCCGCAGGAAAGCCATGAGGACCGTCACCAACATCTTCATCTGCTCCCTGGCGCTCAGCGACCTGCTCATCGCCTTCTTCTGCGTCCCCTTCACCATGCTCCAGAACATTTCCTCTAACTGGCTGGGGGGTGAGTAAGCCCCCCGCTCCCCCCTCTCGCCGGCCGGAGATCTCTGGATGGACCCAGCCTCTCCTGCACCGGGAGCCCTGCCTCTGCCCCGTCCCCCCGTCCCGTTCTTGTAGGGGGCGCCCGGGAGTTCGCAGCTCTCTTTTCCCCCCACTCCCTGCTGCCATCAAACACACCTGCCTGCAACAGATCTCTGCTGGAGGAACAGAGCGGGGGATGCGGGTGGGAAGTGCCAGGTAGATCGCTTTGGTCCCACAGGACTAAGGAATGGGCTGTGTGTCACTCGGGAAGATGCTACTATTTCGCACTTCTCATCTTCAGAGCAACCTGCAAATGCCTTTTGTGTGCGGGATCGAGTCAAAAGGTGGCATGCGGTGTATCTGTAGAGGTGCGTCGGTCCCAGGAGAGACAAGGTGGGTGAGGTCATAACTTGTATTGGACCAGGGGGAGAGACAAGCTTTCCAGCACACACAGAGCTCTTCTTCAGGTCTTTTTCTAAAGATGGGCTTTATCTCTCTCACCAAAAGGAAGTTGGTCCAATAAAAGACACTACCTCATCCAGCTGTAGCTCACAAAAGCTTATGCTCAAATAAATTTGTTAGTCTCTAAGGTGCCACAAGTCCTCCTTTTCTTTTTACCTCATCCACCTTGTCTCTCCAAAGGAGGTGAGCATTTATTTAGCTGCCCCTCTACCTAGCTGCTGACAAAACACACCTGGTTTTTAGGTTTTATATTTTCTTGGGAAATTGTTTTCCTCTTAGGACACATGGATTGTTTTGACTAAACAAGGCAGAGTGTAGAGATCTTCTTGTGAAAAGGCAGCCATTTTCTTTTCCTGAAAACCTTTTGTACTAGGGGGGATCTGGCAACATTACTTCATAATGCTCCATTGGTAGGTATCACTACTAGTGTGAAAGGTCTCATACTTTCATAGCTCAGAACTGATGCTTCAAACCTTTGAAAGTCTCTGTTCACAACAGATAACTTTCCTGGTTCACTCTAGAGCTGTTGCTTTTGCCTACTCATTTGTAGTCTGTTATTGCATTTTAGGATTAGGGCTCTGAATCTACAAATCTGACCCATTAATCTAAATTTACAGTGTACTCCTTATTCTGCAGAGTTTCAAGAATGGCTAGATCACATCACCATTGTGATTAAATTAACAGATTGTATTCAACTTGAAACAGCTGTGTCCTGAGAGTCTGGTGAAAGTTGCAATAAACAGAATTTTGGATGTAGTATGGTGGTGACATAACACATGTATCCTGTAGTTTTTTGTTCCAAGGATACACTCTTGCTGACAAGTGCAAAAGAAGGTCTGAGCCAAAACTTGTTGAAGTCAATTCCATTGATGTGAATATGCTTCAAATCAGGTCGTTTTTGCCTTTGTTAGCAAAAATGGGTCCTTTGGTTGATTGCATCACAGGGGGTCCCATTCATTTGGGGCTGGCCAAAGTCACTGACCAGACAGAATGAGGAGAGGAAAAGCCCCTCTTCAAAGTCAGCTCATTTATACTTTAGGACAAAGTGTCTTTAGTTTTTAAAGGTGTTTCACAGACTAAATTTCTCTAATAAATGGCTTTCCTTTTGTTTTATAGTGCATAGATAATATGATGAATGGGTGAAATAGATAAATGTTCACGAACTGCAGGGCTTTGGAAGTTTTCATGTTATGATCTGAATGTGAAAGTTAAGAGCAGTGTACAAAGGCACTGTCTTTAGGATTTACTTGCCTCTTGTGGGTGATGGACCACTGGCCAAACTCCTACTGAATTCAGTGGAAGTTTAGAGTGTATATTGTTGTCACAACATAGAGCTGCAGAGACGTGAAGTTAAAGAAAAGGACAGGCAGATGTAGTAGTGCTACTAAACAACAGTTCTGAAGAGAGTGGCTCAACTCTGTCTCTGTTCTTTTGATCTTTACGCTCAATATGACAATTGCAAGTGAAGAAATAAAAGGGATGATTCCGCCATGTATAGCAGCCAGGAATGCTGATTATAGTAGAAATGCCTGTTGGATTTCAGAGCCTATGCTCCAACCTGAGCGGGAATGTCTACACTGCTTTTTTAGCCCTATGGCACAGGCCCTTTAAGCCTGAGTCAATCGATGCAGGCTCTGAGACTCACTGTTGTGGTGTTTTTTCATTTGTTTGTTTGTTTGTTTTGTGTTTTTGCAGTGTAGATATACCTTTAGACTTATTGTTGCAACAGCTAACTTTTAGGCCCCCTAATGCCTAGGGGAACCCACAGACCTGAGTTAGGCCCCTAGGCTCCTTATACAATGCATGTGAAGAAGTCTCTTAGAATGGGACTTACAAAAGCCAGCACAATGAATAGGGAGTTATCCAAGATAGCCAGTAGGAATTGCTGAGGAGAGGGGTGGGACTTATGCCCAGCCCCTCAAATGGTACTTAGGATAGATAGGGTGACCAGATAGCAAGTGTGAAAAATCAGGACACATTTTTCACAGGGAAGGAGTATAGTGTGTCTTATATAGGAAAGCTCCTAATATTGGGATGGTCCCAATAATATCAGGACATCTGGTCACCCTCACTTAAGTGCCTAATGGGAGGTCACTCCTGCTGCTTGGGATTCATGGCTGTGAACCCTTTCTTGGAGGTAGAGGCCTAAGTTAGGTCAGTCCTTTCTTATGAAAAATGGTATTGGTGTTCCTTAAATGGCAGCAGAGTCAATGTGTGTGTGTGGGGGGGGCATTTAGGGTCACATGCACCCCCAGATTTCTGCTAGGGGTCACACTAAAATGTCAGAACCATCTGGTTAGGGCTGCTGCCCTCATTCCCTTTGCCTTGCCCAGGAGCTGCCCTTGACCCATGTCTTTGCAGAGCTCATCCTTTCTTTCTCCCCACCACCCCCCGCAGCTGGAAAGAGACATCCCTTGCTCCTTGCGCAGCACCAAAATGCAGCTAACACCTCCAGGCTGCTGCTGGCCACTGGCATAACCCCGCTGCCTCCTGTCCCCTGGCTGCAGCATGGGATTGTGCCCTGGGGTCCCTGGGAACCTGAAGGGGTGGTTGGGTTCTCCCAGAGAGGAAGTGACACTGAATCCCAGCCCGCGGAAAGTGTAGTGAGGGGTCCGACCAGTGCAGCCTGGCTCCTTCCCTTCCCTGCCAGTGGCACCAATGCCATCCTGGGCTGGAGGTGCTTCCTGTCATGGCCTGTCCTTCCACACAGCCAGTAGCAGCTGCCAGATAGGGTGGCCTCCTGCATGTGCCCTGACTGTGGGGGCTGAGGGTTACAGACAGGGCACAGGGGCACAGCATGCTCCAGACAGCCCAAGCTACCTGCTGAAGGTGGGGGAAAGATGGAGGGGCACTGCCCAATGAGCAAACAGCATTCAGAGATACCCCAGGCTGGCAGAAATCTGGGAGTCAGTGCAGCGTGGATGGTCTCTGAGGCTGGCTGACCAGGCTTGTCTCCCTAGAGCAGCAATCAGATTGCCCTGCTCCAGCAGCATGTCTCTGGAGGTCTCAAAGTGCTTTACAAGCTGCAGTGTACCGCTGGGAGTGGGGTGGGGTTTGCCCATTATAGCGAGGGGGAGGCCTTGCATTTAACTTCATGCAGCTATGCGGGCAGTGTGTGTTCAGGGGCTGCACCTGCAACTCTGAGAACTTGGCTCAGCTGCCTTGTTCAGAGTCCATCACGGAACCAGGAATAGAGCTAGGGTGGGTGCAGGGAGGGCTCAGATCCTGTGGCCAAAGGCTGGCGGGACTGGGATCTTGTGGACAAAGGTGGGACAGGCCAGGAGCTGGCTCTGAGCTGGGAGGTGCTGGGAAGCTGCTCTGCATTGCACTGAAGAAAACTCAGCAAGTGACTGTGAGGCCAGGCTGCAGCCCATGGGGCAGTATGGCATACTTTACCCAGGCATCGCCTCTGCTGCCAGGTTCCCACCAGAACCTTTAAATTGTGCCCCACACTATCAACAGTTGTGTTTCGCCTCTGAGTGGAAGTTAGGTGCCTAAATCCCTTTGTGAATCTTGTCCAAGGTCAAGAAAAGGGGACATGAGCAGGTAAATCGGGTACTTCTATTTACCTGCTCTCACAGTACAAGAATAAGGAGATTGTTCAATGAAATCAAAAGGTTATTGTTTAAAACTGATAAGAGGAAATACTTTTTTCTCATTGCACAATTATTCTGTGGAGTTCATTGCCAAATGACATCACTGAAGTCAAGGCCTTAGCAAGATTCAAAAAAAGGGTTAGATGCTTAATTTTTTTGGTGTGGTTTTACAATGTTTTTTCTCTCCCCTGTTGTGAGTGAGTTTTCACATGGCAAACAAAAGGTGGTGACTCGGGCCCCTATCCAACAACTGGATCCACATGGGTGGATACCTGCATCCATGTGGAGCCCTATTGACTTTGACAGTGGTCTGCCTGGTTAGGTAGAATCAGTTATAGCATGGATCAGCGTTCATGTCGCACTCCCTGTCAGCACCCGAAAGCTAATGATCCAACCACTGGACCAAATTCGGTGATGAATCCTGGCCATGTGCCATCTGACCCCCAAGGGGCAATAGAACACTGGGGCAAATAGGCCAAAATCTCAACAAGATGCATGCCAGAGAGTTTGAACACTAGCTGACACCTATGCAGACTCAAAAGAGCCTTTGAAATTATCTGAGTTACATGAGAAGAGAATGGAAAAATGAGATGATGGGGTCTGTTGATAAGAGGGGTTCCAAATATAAAGGGCATTGTAAGAGTCAGCAGAAACTGTGATAAGCTTATTCACAGATGCTGGATACTAGCAAATATCTTTGTCCATTGGCTAATATAAAACACAACTTCCTAGCTAAAATACTAACACATGCAGTACACACTTTCACATCCAAGTAACCAGAAGGTAAACCTGACTATTGGCCACCAGAAAACAGGCTGTGTGTAGGGGGTGGGAGGTCATTGACATAAGGGTGGGTGTCTGAGGCCTTGTCCACACTAGGAATGTGTACCCACCAGCAATAGTGAAGGAGTGTTTACCACCATATTATCTAATCCTGTTGGAAAAATGAAAGGAAGTTCCAAGTGCAGAGGCATACTGTGATGCTGCAGTACTATGAACAGGGGTCTAAACATGCAGACTGTATTCCTTGGCCTAACTGAACTGTTACCATAAGATTTTGATGTGCTGTGTTAGGCAATGCTGGGTGCAATCTTAGTCAAAGGGATGTCTTCTACCAATTAGCCTTGGTTAGCTTTAATTTTTCTTATGATTTTGTATTTATTTCTTTTAAAAAGCAGTGAGGGTGGGTGGCAGCAGTTTCTGAGACTTTGTACATCCTTGATATAAGCACAAGAACAGACTTCACCCTTTCTTCCCTCCCCTGATATAAAACAGGTTGCCTTGCTTTATCTGAGCTACTGTAGATTTTTTTAGACCATTGTTGTAGCCTGTTCTCAAACAGAGAGAGAACTAACTTTGGTTTAATTTCTGACCTGTTTCATTCAGTCCAAAAGGCTCCCTCCCCAAAACATGCTGTTGCATACATTATGGTAAAGACCAAAGTGAGTGATGGGAATAGAGGACTGAACTGAAGATCAGTTTAACAGGAATTTAAATCGCCAAGTGTCTGTTTTCTCTACAACGCCTGGCATGTTTTTTACATTCTACTATGTGCCTAAGAAGCTGTGGAAGAATTCTCACTTTAGCCCATTATCAGAGTGCAATTTAATCCTGGCAGAGATTGGAAGGATTCTGCCATTGTCACCTTACATTGCAGCTTCTTCAGCTTATTTGACATAGTGTAGGATTTCAGTTTCACATGCACTAGTTGTGGTCTGCAGGAAGCTGAATATTTGCCACCTTTTGTCATTGTGATGTGAAGTGGTCACAGAAAGCTATTAACTCCATGGAGTCAGTGACTGGGAACACCTCCATCTCTACCACAGGTAGGTGAGTCACAGTCACTTCTGAGCCTCTCGATGAACTCCTGCTGCTTCAGGAGTCTTGTAAAGCTGTGCAGGTCTGATGATGGGAGAGTAGATGCTGCAGTGAGTTTGATTTATACTTTGGAAGTGCAAATTCAATTACTTCGAGAAAACCTTTGCTCTTTAAACTAAAAGCACTTTATCAAAGGTAAATTTATCAAATTACCTTTACTCGCAAAACATTGTGGGCGATAGATTACAGTTGTGGCGTTGGTGTAAATGAGGGGTGGCCAACCTGTGGCCCCGGAGCCACATGCGGCTCTTCAGACGTTAATATACAGCTCCTTGTATAGGCACCAACTCCAGGGCTGGAGCTAGAGGCGCCAACTTTCCAATGTGCCGGGGGGGTGCTCACTGCTCAACCCCTTGCTCTGCCACAGGCCCTGCCCCCACTCCACCCCTTCCCATCCTCTCCCCTGAGCCTGCCATGGCCTTGCTCCTCCCTCTTCCCCCCCCCCAACCCCAAGCCTCCTGCACACCACAAAACAGCTGATCAGGGAGGGAGGGGGAGGCACTGATCAGCAGGGCTGCCGGTGGACAGGGGGTGTGGGGGAGCTGATGGGGGGCTGCTGATGTATTGCTGTGGCTCTTTGGCAATGTACATTGGTAAATTCTGGCTCCATATGTGCCGACTCCGACAGGGGTGCTCTGGGGCTGGAGCACCCACAGGGAAAAATTAGCAGGTGCGCCGCACCCACCAGCAGCCAAGCTGCCCCCTCCTTGCCTCCTTCTCCCCCCCATCCTGAGCGCACCGCGTCCCTGCTCCTCCCCCTCCCTCCCAGCACTTCCCATCCCCCGCCGCCTAACAGCAGTTTGGTGGTGCTTAGGACTTTCCAGGAGGGAGGGGGAGGAGCAGGGATGGGGCACGCTCAGGGGAGGAGGTGGAGAAGAGGCGGGGCAAGAGTGAGGACTTGTGGGAAGGGATAGAATGGGGGCGGGAAGGGGGTGGGGACTTTGGGGAAGGGGTGGAATGGGGGTGGGGCGAGGGCAGTGCCGGGGCGGGAAGAGGTGGGGCAGGAGCGGGGCCAGGGGTGTGGGGGGGTCGAGTACCCACCGGGCAGAGGGGAAGTCAGCACCTATGTCTAGCTCCTTCTCAGGCTCAGGTTGGCCACCCCGGTGTAAATGATTTCCTGGATTCAATTTAAATTAATATCTGGTGCCTCCACCTTGTTTATTTCCTGGAAATTTCCAGATCTGCTTATTCCAGAGGTGACTACAGAACAACTACCATGCCACAGACTATTGGGCTGAGTGTCACAAACTCTCTGTCAGGATCACACAGGGTGGCATGTTTATTGGGGGAAGAAAAGGAAGTCAGAGAAGAGGTTAAGTGATATGTTTTGTTTTGCTTTGTCATTTACTGTACGTATCTCAGCATAAACTACAATAACTCAGTACATTGCCTCCTCCCACATATCTAGTCAAAGTCCTCTGCACACTCAGCAAAGTAGAAGGAAAGGGGTGATTTACATTGTTCTTGATTGTGATGCTGTTTTATATCTGAATAAAAACAAAGATGAGTTCAGGTTCAACTCTATTATAAATGGGGATCCTCCTGTTTCCCCCAGTAGGGGCAAAGTCCACAAGACTTGCTCCTGTCTCAAATTGCTTAGGAACCCTCAGCAGTATCTTTGTGCTACTGCCTGGGTGAGCTGGTGGATGGAAAATTGCTTTAGATACTGTGGCTTGGTGGCACTGGCAAGGGGCCAGGGTGAAAGAGGCCCAGTTGTGTTGGAGTTGGTAGCCTGCAGGGCTTCTCTCAGCATTTCCCCTCTCCCAGTCAAGATAGTCTCCTCAGAACAGATGCCAGGGACTCAGCGAGTGACACTGCTCCTCTGCCATGGACCTTCTCTTAGGGCTTGTTTACATGAGAAGTTGGTATTCCTGATCACCACCTTATGTGGATGCTCTTATTCCAGAATAAGATGACCACACAGGGCATTAATCAGGAGTAACTACTCAACTTTAAATTTGGATTAAGATTGGATGTGAATTTACTTTATACTTTATAGACAAGCCTTTAGAGAGAAGCAAGTTATCTGAGAGAGGCTCCCTAGGAGTTTCCACTGTCCTGATAGCATCAAAATGCTGGAATTACGCCAGGGATATACATAGTAACCAGGTCTGTGTTTAGGGTTGCTATAGGATGCTTTCTGCTCTTTAGTTTAACAGTTTGTATTAGACAACATGCGGTCCCATTTGCAGAGAGCTTTTGAAAATCTCACCTTTAGAATTTTATGATTACTTCATGCCTTTTATTTAAAAGAAAAACTCTTTTGCCTTTTTCCCTAATTACCTTGCATTGTACAAATGAGTGCTTTCTTTTAAGCTTTGTAAATTACTCTTTTTCTTGTGAGCATTTGGAAATGAAACATTCACAATTCTTTCACACTGCTTGGATATAAACAATGACATAGATTGCTACAAACGAGAATAAAAAATTAGTACAATTGTTTAATATTTTCCAAAGTGTTGTGCATTTAAAATTAAATTTCAGTGGGGCCTCATGGGATATGCTTATGAAATTCACTTCTTGAATTTAAAGGCACAAAAGTCCTGAAGGACTTCTAAACAAGACACATTTTATGACTGTTTTAATATAAACTTTCTAAAGTTTTATGTTTATATTCATTTGAAAGAGCTCCGCGTGTTTTCTTAATCTTTTGTACAACTGAACAATTTCAGAGAATGGACTGTGAAGAAGAAACTTCAGACACTTTCAGAACAGTCTGTGCCAGGACTTTGATAACTAAGTTTGATCAGAATTTCCAACTTTTGCACATGTGCAAACTGCAGACTAATACCAGTTAAATTTATTTAAAAAAAAAACAGTCAGGATTCACTCATTTTATAATTAACATTGCTCTCATAAACTCTCTGAATTATTTGTGTCTAGATATGCACAGTTATTATTTCTGTTCCAGCTTACCTATAGAAGAGTGACCTCTGCACATAACAGGTGTCATTCCTAGAAAGTGTAAGCTCTGGTCTACAATAGGAGTTGAGGTCAAATTTAGCAGTGTTAAATTGATTTAACCCTGCACCTGTCCACACGACGAAGCCCTTTTTTTCGACCAAAAGGGCTCTTAAAATCGATTTCCTTACTCCACTCCCGACAAGGGGATGAGTGCTGAAATTGGCCTTGCTGGGTTGAATTTGGGGTACTGTGGACGCAATTAGACGGTGTTGGCCTCCGTGAACTATCCCAGAGTGCTCCATTGTGACCGCTCTGGACAGCACTCTCAACTCAGATGCACTGGCCAGGTAGACAGGAAAAGGCACGCAAACTTTTGAATTTCAAGTTCCTGTTTGCCCACCGTGGCAAGAGCTCATCAGCAGAGGTGACCATGATGGAGTCCCAGAATTGCAAAAGAGCTCCAGCATGGACCGAACGGGAGGTACGGGATCTGATCGCTGTATGGGGAGAGGAATCCGTGCTATCAGAACTACATTCCAGTTTTCGAAATGCCAAAACATTTGTCAAAATCTCCCAGGGCATGAAGGACAGAGGCCATAACAGGGACCTGAAGCAGTGCTGCATGAAACTTAAGGAGCTGAGGCAAGCCTACCAGAAAACCAGCGAGGCGAACGGCCGCTCCGGGTCCGAGCTCCAAACATGCTGCTTCTATGATGAGCTGAATGCCATTTTAGGGGGTTCAGCCACCACTACCTCAGCCGTGTTGTTTGAGTCCTTCAATGGAGATGGAGGCAACACGGAAGCAGGTTTTGGGGACGAGGAAGATGCTGATGATGAGGTTGTAGATAGCTCACAGCAAGCAAGCGGAGAAACCGGTTTTCCCGACAGCCAGGAACTGTTTCTCACCCTGGACCTGGAGCCAGTACCCCCCCGAACCCACCCAAGGCTGCCTCCCAGACCTGCCAGGTGGAGAAGGGACCTCTGGTGAGTGTATCTTTTAAAATACTATACATGGTTTAAAAGTAAGCATGTTTAATGATTAATTTGCTCTGGCATTTGCGGCTCTCCTGGATATACTCCCAAAGCCTTTGCAAAAGGTTTCTGGGGAAGACAGCCTTATTCCATCCACCATGGTAGGACACTTTACCACTCCAGGCCAGTAGCACGTACTCGGGAATCACTGTCGAACAAAGCATTGCAGTATATGTCTGCTGGTGTTCAAACAACATCCGTTCTTTATCTCTCTGTGTTATCCTCAGGAGAGTGATATCATTCATAGTCACCTGGTTGAAATAGAGTGCTTTTCTTAAGGGGACATTCAGAGGTGCCCATTCCTGCTGGGCTGTTTGCCTGTGGCTGAACAGAAATGTTCCCCGCTGTTAGCCACGGGGAGGGGGAAAGGGGCAGGGGCTAACCACGTGGTGGTGGGAGGCAAAATGCGACCTTGGAATGAAAGCACATGTGCTATGTCTGTAATGTTAACAGCAAGGTTTACCGTGAAAGAGTGTAGCCATTGTTCTATAAAATGTGTCTTTTTAAATACCACTGTCCCTTTTTTTCTCTCCACCAGCTGCATGTGTTTCAAGGATCTTCTCCTTCCCAGAGGCTAGCGAAGATCAGAAGGCGAAAAAAACACACTCGTGATGAAATGTTCTCCGAGCTCATGCTGTCCTCCCACACTGACAGAGCACAGACGAATGAATGCGTGGAGGCAGACAATGTCAGAGTGCAGGAAAGCACAAAATGACCGGGAGGAGAGATGGCAAGCTGAAGAGAGTAAGTGGCGGGCTGAAGCTGAAAGGTGGTGACAGCGTGATGAGAGGAGGCAGGATTCAATGCTGAGGCTGCTGGAGGATCAAACTAATATGCTCCAGCATATGGTTGAGCTGCAGGAAAGGCAGCAGGAGCATAGACTGCCACTACAGCCCCTGTGTAACCAACTGCCCTCCTCTCCAAGTTCCGTAGCCTCCTCACCCAGACGCCCGAGAATGCGGTGCGGGGGCCTCCGGCCACCCAGCCACTCCACCCCAGAGGATTGCCCAAGCAACAGAAGGCTGGCATTCAATAAGTTTTAAAGTTTTAAACTTTTAAAGTGCTGCTTGTCCTTCCCTCCTCCACCACCCCTCCTGGTGCTTCTCTCCTCCACCACCCCTCCTGGGCTACCTTGGTAGTTATCCCCCTATTTGTGTGATGAATGAATAAAGAATGCATCAATGTGCAGCAACAATGACTTTATTGCCTCTGCAAGCGGTGATTGACGGGAGGAGGGGCGGGTGGTTAGCTTACAGGGAAGTAGAGTGAACCAAGGGGCGGGGGGAGGAGGGAAGGACAAGGAGAAACAAAGAGAAGGAGAAACAAAGAGAACTTTCTTCATCAAGGAGAAACAAAGAGAACTTTCACACTGTAGCCTGGCCAGTCATGAAACTGGTTTTCAAAGCTTCTCTGATGCGTACCGCGCCCTCCTGTGCTCTTCTAACCGCCCTGGTGTCTGGCTGTGCGTAACCAGCAGCCAGGCGATTTGCCTCAACCTCTCACCCCACCATAAACGTCTCCCCCTTACTCTCACAGATATTGTGGAGCGCACAGCAAGCAGTAATTACAGTGGGAATATTGGTTTCGCTGAGGTCTAACTGAGCCAGCGCGCCTTTAAACGTCTAAATGCACATTCTACCACCATTCTGCACTTGCTCAGCCTGTAGCTGAACAGCTCCTGACTACTGTCCAGGCTGCCTGTGTACGGCTTCATGAGCCATGGCATTAAGGGGTAGGCTGGGTCCCCAAGGATAACTATAGGCATTTCAACAACCCCAATGGTTATTTTCTGGTCTGGGAATAAAGTCCCTTCCTGCAGCTTTTGAAACAGACCAGAGTTCCTGAAGATGCGAGCGTCATGTACCTTTCCTGGCCATCCCATGTTGATGTTAGTGAAACGTCCCTTGTGATCCACTAGTGCTTGCAGCACTATCGAAAAGTACCCCTTGCGGTTTATGTACTCGGCGGCTTGGTGCTCCGGTGCCAAGATAGGGATATGGGTTCCGTCTATAGCCCCACCACAGTTAGGGAATCCCATTGCAGCAAAGCCATCCACTATGACCTGCACATTTCCCAGGGTCACTACCCTTGATATCAGCAGATCTTTGATTGTGTTGGCTACTTGCATCACAGCAGCCCCCACAGTAGATTTGCCCACTCCAAATTGATTCCCGACTGACCGGTAGCTGTCTGGCCTTGCAAGCTTCCACAGGGCTATTGCCACTCACTTCTCAACTGTGAAGGCTGCTCTCATCTTGGTATTATTGCTCCTCAGGGCAGGGAAAGCAAGTCACAAAGTTCCATGAAAGTGCCCTTACGCATGCGAAAGTTTGGCAGCCACTGGGAATCATCCCAGACCTGCAATACTATGCGGTCCCACCAGTCTGTGCTTGTTTCCCGAGCCCAGAATCAGCATTCCACCGCACGAACCTGCCCCATTAGCACCATGATGCCCACATTGCCAGAGCCCGTGCTTTGAGAGAAGTCTGTGTCCATGTCCTCATCGCTCTCCTCACCGCGCTGATGTCGCCTATTTGCCCGGGTTCGCTTTGCCAGGTTCTGGTGCTGCATATACTGCTGGATAATGTGTGTGGTGTTTAATGTGCTCCTAATTGCCAAAGTGATCTGAGCGGGCTCCATGCTTGCTGTGGTATGGCGTCTGCACAGAAAGAAGATGCAGAACGATTGTCTGCCGTTGCCCTGACAGAGGAAGGGGCGACTGACGACATGGCTTACAGGGTTGGATTACAGGGAATTCAAATCAACAAAGGGGGTGGCTTTGCGAGAAACTGAATGGCCCCCTCAAGGATAGAACTCAAAACCTCAAGGATAGAATTCAAAACTGGGTTTAGCAGGCCGTTGATTTCACAGAGGGAGGGATGGAGGAGAAAATGAATACAAAACAAATCTGGTCTTATTTTTTGTTTTGAGCTACTTCATCTATCTTTATACATCTTGCTGGCAGCAGACTGTGTAGTACGACCGCTAGCCATCGTCATCTCCTGAGTGCTTGGCAGAAGACAGTGCAGTGTGACTACTGGCCATCATCTGCTAGCTGCAGATTAAAAGACAGCGCACTGCCGGTAGGACTCAATCGCCATGAGATGAAACGAGGGAAATGACCTGGCTCAGTCACTCCCATGTTTGCCCAGGTGCCCCGACCTCATCAAGGTCGGTTAAAAGAGCACCCAGGACTACGTCGATGACGGCTACCAGTCATACTGCACTGTCTGCTGCCAAAAGGCAATTAACTGCTGCTGTGTAGCAATGCAGTACCGCGTCTGCCAGCACCCAGGAGACATACGGTGACGTTTAGCTGAGCGGGCTCCATGCTTGCCGTGGTATGGCGTCTGCACAGGTAACTCAAGAAAAAAGGCGCAAAACGCTTGTCTGCCCTTGCTTTCACGGAAGGAGGGAGGGAAAGGGGGCCTGACGATATGTACCCAGAACCACTCACAACAATGTTTTAGCCCCATCAGGCACTGGGATTTCTACCCAGAATTCAAATGGGTGGCGGAGACTGTGCAAACTGTGGGATAGCTACCCACAGTGCAATGCTCCGGAAGTCAATGGTTGCCTCGGTACTGTGGACACACTCCGCCAACTACATGCACTTAGAGCATTTGTGTGGGGGGACACACAATCGACTGTATAAAAACACTTTCTAGAAAACCGACTTCTATAAATTCGACCTCATTTCATAGTGTAGACATACCCTAATGTTTGCCTTGCCCCACAAGGAAGATCTGGAAGCAAGAGAGTCCATAGCCCACTGCTAATCCCCCTCTGTCATCTTGTCCATCGCAAAAACATTAGCTGAACTGTGTTTCAACTATTAATCCCTAGACGCTTCTGATTAATTTGTGTTTTTTTCTCAACTCTAACAAATAGGCAATCTTTAGACTTTGGTATATTTTGCTCGGTTGTAATTATTATCCCAAACAGTAAGCAATCCCAATCTATCTAATTATATTGGGACTATTCAGTGTTATGTAAAAGACATGACAATTTTACAGTTCAGGAAAAGGTGTAATAATTATGAATCACACTAAATATTAAGATTTGGGGATCTCTCTGTTTCCAGACTTAAAGCATCTTACAGTTTTACTTTTAAGGCAACTATTATGGAGTATACTATACATAGCTCAGGGACTTAGTGGTATAATGCTTTATAGTCTCTTCTTTGTATTCTCAAGATTGCTTAGCAGATCTTGGTCACTCAACCCCTCTTGATTCAAGTGGGCTAATGCATAAACCACAACTGAACACTTTATTTCTGAGAAAATTAAAGAGCCTAACTCTTGTGTCTATCAAAATATATCAGAAAAAAAAAAAAGAAAGAAAGACTCTGTTTCATTCCATCTTGTATGAGAAGCCTTTAAGGAAGCCATCTACTGTGGGGATATCAGTGTGTCTTCTGCCCTAAAGTCAGATAGAAAAAGCATACTCTGTTTACACTTAATGAGTCAGAAAGAGCTCATCAATTACTATTAATTAATAATGAAAAAATCTTCTTTCACCAGGATAATGTCATAATTTCTAATATGCAAGAGTTCTAGTAATCTCTGTGTTGAGATTTCCAAAGTCCTAGCCTTTTGGAGTCTTCTGAATGTCAACATGAAGATTTTCAGAATCATTACAGGATTAATTTGAAAAGACTAAACTTTTTTCAAAAGGTAGTTTTGTTGAAATCCTATTCCTACATCGTGTAACAAATCAGCCCAATAATACACTTTGCCAAGATACCCTTTCCCCCCGCAACTTAAAACAGTTTAAATAAACTCAGGCCATCAAATTACAAAGCAGAGATGCTAAGAAATTAAATGATAAAATAAAAAGCACATCCCATATCACAATAAGTAGAACTGAATTGTGCATTATGAAACAAATCATACCGCTAAAAAGAATTCACCACTCTACGCCAGTGACACTTGAGGTTCAGAAGTCCCTTTGCTCTTTTCCAAATTTTAAAGTATTTTCCAGTGTGTGAAATCTCCAGTCTCAAAAATGTTTCTATGATAGGTTAGATTACTTGCTATTTAGGCCACTTTTCCAATTATTTTATTTTAAGTTATCTGGAGAAAAAATGTGTGTGTTCAGTAATTAGAGTAATTTGACTTTTTTCTCATTTTCTCTAAAAATTAAAATCTATTATCCTACTGTCATAATTACAGGAAGTTGTTTACATGTTTCTACCTTACTTTTAGCTCATAGAAGAGCAGAAAAAGATTTTAAATTGGACAATCTGAATTCAGTGGGAAACCTTTTCCCTTTTTTACTAAGCCACAGTCATTCTGAAGTAAACTGCCCAATAAGATTGCTTGGGTCTCCCAGTCTCTGTCTCCTTGAGGCAAATGAGAATTTTGTTTTTTAACTCAATGGGTTTTAAATGCCAACAGAAAGCCAGTAGAAGTTTTTCTAATTTGTCAAAGAAAATCTTCAGTATTAAATTTACTCTGTGATTCATCTTTATGTCTATTTGAAACTAGAATTCTTCTGTCAATTTAGGGCAATACATAAGCAGGCTGTGTAGTCCTTGTAAATTGGTGCCTTTTGAGAATGGTTGCCATGGATAGTGATGACAGGAACACTAGGCTGTTAGGTAAGTTAGACATTTGAGTGCCCACTCCTCAAATCAAAAGGCCTGTTTTGCCTGCTAGAAACATGGTAGCAAAAGAAAAATAAAATCTGTCTCTGCCTTGTTCTCATCAAGAGCAAGAGGGAAGTAAAACACTAACCCTAAGGCTATGACTACACTAGAGAGTTTACAGCAGTGCAGCTGCAAAGATGCAGCTATGCCGCTGTAAGTTCTCTAGTGTAACTGCTCTAAGCCGACGGGAGAGAGCTCTTCCATTGGCTTAATTAATCCACCGTGAATGACTGGTGGTAGCTATGTTGGCGGGAGATGCTCTCCCACCGACATAGCGCTGTCCACACTGGCGTTTAGGTCAGGGTAACTTACGTCACTTGAGGGTGGGGGTGGCTTATTCACATCTTGATCGTCATAAATTATGTCGGCATAAATGGTAGTGTAGACATAGTCTAATTGTCCCCCACGGTTCTGGAGGCTATAAGGGGTCCGCCTGGGAAAATAAGTGTCAAGAAAAGCAGAATGCTCTGCCTTGAAGTTCAGCTGATTATGACACAGCTTTTCTTAAATGATTTCCCTTGAGACCAATAACGC